ACCAGCACCCCCAGGTCCCTCTCAGCAGGGCTGCTCTCGATCCTTTCTTCCCCCAGCCTGTACTGATACTGGGGGTTACCCCGACCCAGGTGCAGGACCTTGCACTTGGCCTTGTTGAACCTCATGAGGTTCACACAGGCCCACCTCTCCAGCCTTTTCTGCTTCTCACCCCACCCCACCAGTGAGTAGGCTAGGAGAGCACAAGAAGGGGAGGGGACATGGCTGGGACAGCTCACCCCAACTGACCAAATGGAAATTCCATACCATATGATGTCATGATCAGGATATAAAATAGGGAAAAAGTTGGCCAAGGGTCCACTGCTCAGGACCTGGTAGGGCATCAGTCAGTGGGTGGTGAGCAATTGCACTATGCATAATTTGTTTTGTGTATTTTTTAATCATTATTATTTTCCCTTTCTTTTCTGTCCTATTAAATTGTCTATTCCAACCCACGGGTTTTATATTTTTTTTCCAATTCTCTCCCCCATACCACCCAGGGGAGTGAGAGAATGGCTGTGTGGTGTTAAATTGCCTGCCAGGTTAAACCACAACAAATTCTTCACTGACTTGTTCTGATTTCATAATTACTGCGTTGAATATAAGACAAAGCAGAATTTAGCTGTTGAGTTTAACCACCAGTCACTCAATAACTGTAGTCAAAAAGCCTAATAGGGTTTCACGGGGAAGTTGATGGGAGTTACACAGCGGAAAAGCAGCACTGTTTGAATTTCATATTAAAGCTTGGGTTTTGGAGTCCACAATTGTAATATACTAGCTTGTAGCATGGTTCTGAAATCTTCATCATACACCACATTTCAATTTTCTATAGTCTTTTACTGTAGCTCTTAGTCTAAAAGAGCTTAATAATTAATTGTAAATGAGTGGAAGCATCTGCCAGAGATCATTATTGTAGGCATTTTTAAGGTTTATTATTACATTTTTGGCTATTTTGAATGTATTACAGTACAGAAGGCTGTTAAATCAATGTATGGATACACAGATACGCACATATAGTTTCTGCTTGAGTCTATTGGTAACATTTGCAAAAGAAATTGCAGTTAAAGCAAAACTTTTGCTCTGTACTAAAGGAAAACCAAGATGTACAACCTTCATTAGAAAAACTGATTTTCACATTAAACTTCCATGTATCTTATCTTTTAGCTATTACTCGACTTATTCCATCTTTCCCCTTTCTTACCTCCCCCTGTTTTATAATTTTTAATGTCTTTTTCAGAAATTTCACATCCAACTATCTCATTTACTAGGCTAATTAGATGCTAACAGAGTGGAACCTGTTGGCAAGACAACACTGTTGTAGACTTTCTAGGAAAGGATGAGAGTAGTCACAATCAAATCATCAACCCTCAGTGATGAATGGAAAGCCTCCAAGAACCTGCACAGCTATAACATAGCCCTGTATTATATAGCTCTACATACTAGCTGCTCAGACTGTTACTTTTGTAAAGACAAATGACTCTGACTCTAGGGGGATTTTTTTCTTCAGAACTACTCTGGATCTCATAACAATCAATTGTGTTAGAGCTTAGGTGATGCTGGCCAAGCACAGCAGGCCTTGTGGGTGAGCACTAGATTTGCACATAGGTACCAGCTCCATAATCTACCACTGGAGTCTACTCAACCCTTTTGCCATGAAATGAAAAAGTCATTGTGTTATTTTTGTGAATTCTACTAAAATAAAATATTGAAATCTATATGCTGAGCTTACAAGTACCCCTAAAAGAAAGGCATCCAGAGACAAGATCACACACCTGGGAAATTATGAGGGGATACCAGGGCACAGAAAGGTAGTTTGGTCATGGAAACCTGGAGCAGAAGGATCCTTCTTCCTCTTTGGAACATTTATGGGGGCTGTCTTATACAGCTGCAGTATAATCCTGGGGAGCAGAAACGAAGACTGATAACCCACAGGTCCTGGGCCTGCTTTAGTACATGTTGCTTCTTCCACTTTCTTTTGTCTTTGCTTGTGTTTCAGGTATTGGTGAAAGTAAGACTGAGCTAAATACCTGGGATGGCACAGTGATGTGGGTAGTTCAGCCAAGGTGAGGTAAAATAAAAAATAAGAAATCGTTGCCCAAGGCTTATGAAACAGGTGTCATATTTGATGGTCCCTCAAGAACAGAGCAGTATGAAAACCACTAAGAAAGTTTTCAGGTACGCTAAGGTTACAATTGGTGTCATAGAAGCCATACTCTAGCACAGGATGTCTAAGACTGACCGGGTAATCAGGTATTTCCTTGTCTCAGGCAACTTGCCTGGGCAGAGGGGGAACAGAGAAGGACAGCGTGAGCCCTGCAGAGGCAAGGCAGTGGGCTGCCCCCTTGGCTTTTTCCAGAGGGCAGCAACTGAGCATGCACCAGTCAACAGGTATGCACGAAAAGAGTGCATGATCACCAAACACCCTCACCACCCCAACGAGACCCCCTGACCCAATTAGAGAACTCTCTAGAACACTTGACTGCAAGCTTCTCGTTACAGTGGTCTCGTGACCATTATTGCCAAGGAGGAAGACACAGATGGTGGGATTGAGTGTCCCCCTCAGCAAGGCTGCAGATCCTACCAAGCTGAGTGGAGCAAATGATTCCCTTGCAAGAAGAGGATGCCATCCAGAGGGACCTGGACAGGCTGGAGGAACAGGCCCATGCAGACATCATGAAGGGCAATGAGGCCAAGTGCAAGGTCCTGCACTTGGGTCAGGGCAACCCCCAGTATCCATACAAGCTGGGGGATGGGTGGATGGAGAGCAGCCTTGAGGATAGGGACTTGGGGGTACTGGTGGATGAAAAGCTGGACATGAGCCAGCAATGTGTGCTGGTAGCCCAGAAGGCGAACTGTACCCTGGGCTGCATCCCCAGCAGCGTGGCCAGCGGGGTGAGGGAGGGGATTCTGTGCCTCTGCTCTGCTGGCCTGAGACTCCCCTGGAGCTCTGCGTCCAGCTCGGGGGTCCCCAGCCCAGGACAGACAGGGACCTGTTGGAGCGGGGCCAGGGGAGGCCACGGAAATGGTCCGAGGCTGGGACAGATCTACTATGGAGAGAGGCTGGGAGAGTTGGGGTGGTTCAGCCTGGAGAAGGCTCTAGAGAGACCTGAGCGTGGCCTTGCCATGCTTAAAGGGGGATGACAAGAAGGATGGGGACAGACATTTTAGCAGGGCCTGGAGTGACAGGACAAGGGGTGATGGTTTTAAACCGAAAGAGAGGAGCTTGAGACTAGGTCTAGGGAAGGAATTTTTAATGCTGAGGGTGGTGAGACACCAGGTTGCCCAGAGCAGTGGTGGATGCCCCATCCCTGGGAACTGTCAAGGTCAGGTTAGACAGGGCTTTGAGCAACCTGATCTGGTTGAAGATGCCCCTGCTTATGGTGGGGAGGTTGGACTGGATGACCTTGAAAGGTCCCTTCCAACCCAACCTGTTCTGTGATTTGATGACCTGTGCCTGACAGCAGCGTCCCTTAGGGCCAGAACCCCCTTTGCCACTCGGCTCCAGATGTGCTAAGCCTGGGAGAAGCCAGGGAGCCCCGTGCCCCTCGAGCCACGCAGGGCAGAGAGCTGCCACCCCTACCTTGTAAATGCAGCCCAGCAACAGCTGCAGGGGACACGTCACCAGGTTCATCCTGATGCCAATGGTATCAATCTTGGCACCCTGGTGCAGCAGAGAAGACAGTGGCTGTCAACAGCCCAAACCTACCACAGGTTTTTAAGCCAATCCCAAAACCAGGGCCACTGGGCAGGTTAGAGGATGCTCTCCCTGAAGGTGCCCAGCATCTGCTCCACCAAAAAGCCATTTGTTTTTTTTCCCCCCAGCTTAAAAATTTTGTTCTCATGTGGGGACGAGTTCCCAGGTGACTCCCACGCCCACCCCGCATGCTCCAAACCTCAGCAGTGCTGGCGACCGCCAAGGTGATGTCCCAGTCCCAGCAGCAGGTACCCCACCTCCTGGCTGAACTCCTCCAGGCTCTGCTCGCTGATGTCGTTGCTGATGGCTATGGGGATGGTCCCAAACCAGGCCACCTGGAAGCTGGAGAGGGGCAGAGGAGT